TTGAAAGAAGTTATAAAGGCTTCAACAATGATCAAATAATAAGGTGTTTTTTATATTCTAATATAAGATATTATTGATAGCTAAGAAGACCTATCAACTAAAGATCAAAGTATGTGGCAAATACAAATTGCCGCATCTTGGACTTTTTCAATATATGATTTCTGCTCCTCATAGAACTCATTCCTAAAATATATATATATATATATATATATATATATATATATATATATATATATATCAGAGATAGATATATTTATTTAAATAAGAAGTATTAATTAAAAAATAAATGTAAGTAGTTTTGATATTATTTTATAGTGGAGCTTCTTAAAAGCTTCATAGATACATATTTGACTTTATACATGTTTGTAGTTAATTGGTAGATTAGAAACTTGGTCAACAAGTTAGCCACGTGTCATACATATTGGTAGCTTGTGATACAAGTTAATGATGTGGTGAACATATAAGAAACTTGTCTTGCAAGTTAAGACATTTGTCTCACAAATTAAACATGTATTAGAGATCCTACAAAACATTGCTATGTATCTCTTAATTAGATTATATATATATAAGAGTAAAGTTTTTTTCACTCTTATCAACATCTTTTTAGTTTTTATTCTTATTCAAGATGTTCTAGTTTTTTTTTTTTTTTTTTTTTTTTTTTTTGGCAATAGTCATTCCACTTCTAATACTATATTAATTTTGGGTGAATATCTATTTTTTCCAAGTGACACAAGAGTTTATTGAGTTTTTGATTCTTTGAGATCTTTATTATAGAAAGAAATAAAATATATTTTATTCTATTATAACTTATTAAGCTTAAGTTCATTAATTTTGTTAATGTCTTTTTTATCCTATCATTAAATCTTTTATATCATTTTGAAATATATGTTTTTTGATTTTAGTCTATATAATAGAATATATAATAGAAAATCTAAAATTATATATATATATATATATATATATATATATATTAATTATAAACAATCTTATTATATCAATTTTATTTTTATCTTCAAAAAAAACTTGATAATTGATATAAGAGTCTTATCTAATATATACTTATATGTAATTCATTGATTTTTTTTATTTTGAATATTTATAAAAATAATCCATTTTTTTTTGTAAAGGTGTGGTTTTTGGTATTAGACAATTGATTACTAATTAGGATTTTATTATCAAATTATCATAGGCAAGGCACGTGCTAAAATTTTGAAGACCTTTTATACTATTAGTGTTTAACAAACTAACTTCAATTCTATTATTTAGAATATTATTATCTACAATTGGTTTTACATCTAACTTATGTAGATTGATTGAAGTTGTTATTATGGCTTAAAACAATATTGTACATAGCTTCACATAATGAACTATTTCTAATATTTTATTTTTATTTTATTTTTATATCTTTTAAAGGATCTTTTTTATATCCTTTTGAAGGATCTTTTTTTATATTCAAGTTAAATATATGTGAATACAAATCTAAATAAGAGGATTAAGAAGTCATGGCAATAGACAAATGATGTCATTGTAATGGATATGAAAACAAACAAATGTACAATATTATAACAAAGATGGATTAGAATAGAATTATAATTTATAAATTTTATTGATATAAGACAAAGATTTAAGGATTATTATTGAACAATATAAGGTTTAGTTTTTTTAAAATTGAATATAAAATAATATTTTTTATTTTTCAATTATTATCATTATTATTATTATTATTATTATTATTATTATTTATAATCAATAAAATACATAAACTACATAAATAACATTTAGAAGATGCATGATAATTTTTTTTAATATTAAACTTCTATCTCCTATATAATAGAACCATGTTCTTTTATAGTAAAATCACTAAAAACCAAAAATTAGAACCAATAATATCTAAAACTATTTTATACATAAAAGCAACAGTTGTTGTGTTATTGCACCGGTCGAAGCTATCTAAAAATGTTTCATACATACATAAAAGCGGCCGTTGTGTTATTGCACCCCGTCGAAGTTGATTTCTTCTTCTAGATTCCAGAAGTTTGATCAATTGTGCTAGAAAACAAGGAGGATCGGCAAGCTTTCCTACATCTGATTTTCTAAACCCATCAGTCGAAGTTGGAGTTCTAGCGTTTGGTTTGCGTTTGGAGTGCCTCTAGGCTCTACTTTGGAGCAATAAATATGGGAATAATTCTCAAGCAGATAGTTGCGGAGGGTCAAGTATCCTCAGTAAACAGGGATTAACCAGACCAGAGTCTGACGCACCCTCAAGCATCACAATTCTCACTACAAATGCTCATCTCCACACCAAAATTCATCACAATAGCTTCATTTTGATCTGATTAAACTTTCCAAAGTGCGGCTTTTATAACGCGAGGTTAGGTGGTGAGCCTCGACACCTAGATGCCGCACTTTTTGGTGCAAAAGTTTGGGTGGTGATCTGAGCGCATACTTTAAGGTTATCTCTTGCCACATTCTTGATTGATTTGTATTGGGTCTCACGTTTTTTGCAGCTGTGATTTCGCATTCTACTCAATGTTGAGGTTTGATTCAACATGTGCTTGAACGCGAGTTTCAACTTTGTTAGAGGAGTAGATCAGATCAGATCACATTCATCGGAACAATGGACATCGACAAGTGACCTGTGCTCAGGAGCATTCTTCCGGAGCTCCTGACGCCAATCGATCCACTTTAGTAAGAAAACCATTTAATTTTATCATCGGTTTTTACTAAATTCATGTAACAGTTTATAAAAATGTAATCCATTACTGAGGATATATTACTTACCAAGCCGAATTGTGGTTGATTTCATGTGTGATTTCTTTATTTATTGCTAATATTTCCATTTTTATATGTGTAACTTGATATAAATACAAAAAATACTAAAACTTGGATTTATGCAAAAGAATTTGGTGCATAAACACACAAATGACTACAAATAATTATGTATTAATATCAAGATCAAAGGAGCTTTTATTTATTTCTTTCTTTCTTTATTTATATCCAGATTCAAGTGAAAAATAATGTGTATCCTCTGAGACCTGTGTTTTGCGTTGCATGATATTAAACCAGTTTTTAACATGTAGGATCACCTAATACATACTGGGCAATTTGTACCAATATGACATTCAAAAATAAAAGACATGAACACAAAAAAACCTAAATATCGGTTTTTAATAAAACTGTATTCTCTTCCAGAGCATGAAAAACTATAACGACAGATAACCAGTCACGTGATTTATTAACTCTTTCCTACAGAAGACTATTTTGCAGGTGTTCAACATCCAGAAAGCTTATTACTTTCCAAACATACCATGGTATATATTTGCACATACCTCTCAAATTCAATAACAAACCAAAAAATTCGAAATTAAAAGTTAATTAGATGAACAACATGTCATGATCATGACATTGGTCACACTAATTTTACAATTGGTAAATGTATTTCACATATGTTGTCCTTTCTTACACATGTAAAAATCAAAAGAAGTATAGCAAAACAAAATATAAAATAAATTTATTCTACTGTCAATTTGAGGGGTCAGATACTAGTGTGTGTATGTGTGTGTATACATACATACATACATACATACATACATACATACATACATATACAAAAAACTGTAATCCTTAGTAGCTGCTTTCCTAATTTTTAAACTTTAATTGTGTATGTGAAATTTAGCAAGTAATGAATAAACAACATATTCACATTCCCCAAAATGCAACAATATTTACACAACACAAAAGCAGCAAATTTGATACTCTAATAAAACATGCTACACAATTAGTTTATTTTTTCTTTAATGACCAACGTACGGTATATCACACAACTTGTGTAATAACAATCAGTCAAAACTCATTGTTTAATTTCCTTTTCAAAATAAGTATCATTCGTACTTCACCACCTGTGAAATACTCTAACATTGACCATAAAACAGAAACAAAACGAGGCTAAAATATTTTCTTTCAACACAAACAAACGAACTATTCTAATTTTGCTGTAAATGATCAATACAGAGCCACTGTAACCGAAACAGAAACTGATATACCGACCTCTGCGGAGCATCAGACGCAATGAATGCAGAGAGAAAATAGCGGGCCAGGAAAATATAACATGGTCGCAAAGCACGCACAAAACCACTCGGTCAATATTCTTACACACTCGACCAGGAAACCAGCAGCCCCTTGGACACCGAAAACCCGACAGAGAAAAGCAGAGAGACTAAACTGAGGGGCCATAACACACCAAACGCACACAACAATGCACAGCGAGTCGCCCTAAAAGTATGAAGGTCTGCGCGAGGAGGGCCAGAGAGCACCAAGGGCCGAACGGAAGGAGGGGGGGGCCCTCCTCCCACACCCACCCCTCTCCCCTTTCCCCTCTCTGTCTCTGTCTCTCGTGACTGGGAATCGCACGCTGCGTCCCGAAAGAAGGAAAGAAAGGAAAGAAGGATTGCCCTCACTCACTCACTCATTCGCTCGCTCCCTCGCTCTCGTCCTCCATTCCATTCTATTCCATGCCTGCGTATCTGCGCTGCAGTAGCGCTGCAACAGCGTTGCCACGGCCCCTTGCTTGCGTGCACCACCGCAGCAGAGACGGGGGCAGAGACAGACAGCCAAGAGCCTCCCTCACCCTCACTCACCCTGCGCAACGGACACTCGGGAGCCGGAGCGGGAGGGCGAGCGCAGCGCCAGAGGCCTTCTTCAGGAAGTGACAACGCCGTCTAAAGTGGAGGTTGCAATGCCAGCTCAAGGGCGAGCGGACCCCGAGCCGCCGAGTGCCTCGATTGCAGATGGTAAAGACGATGCCCCTCCCGTTTGTCATGTTCCCTCTCTTTCCATTGTCCGGCGTTGTGTTGTCGTTAGGTGTAGTCCTGGGGTGGCGCGAGCAGGAGTCGGCTGCCAGCTCTAATTGCTCGCCATGCACTTAATTTCTTGCTCCTCATGGAGTGAACCGACGCGGTGTCGCTCCTTAGATGTTACTATTTCTGCGTGCTAGGATGCAAATTGTGTGGGATTCCGTGGAATGGAGCCACTAGGGAGGTTCGGTGCTTTCAACTGTGGTTCGTGCCCGACGTCCTGGTTGTTCGCTGTAAAATTGATGATGGGGTGCAATTCGGTGAGTTTCGCTCGTTGGATAACAAACGCAAGCTTTGGTGCGGACGCCAGGGCTGTTTTTTTTTTTTTTTTTTTTTTTTGTTCTTTCTCTGCGCCATTCTTAACGTAGACCGTTGCTCAATTCCTGCGATCGCGTTTTTGTGCACGCTTTTGTGTACTTGTACGCAATTGTGCTTTTCACAAGTGAACGATCTGATTAATTGCGGTGCTAATCTGGTTCTGCGATCGTATGTGTGACATTTCAGGTGCCCCCTTGTCTCCGTCGAATGGCGATAACAAGGAGTAAGTTGCTCTAACTTCCCCTTACCTATGTACCGCAAAGTCATTCTGAACGGGCGGTGCAATTCGTGAGTTGCATCTCTGAATGCTGGAACGAGTCTACCTCTTTCGATGACTTTGTTGCTTAAGTGCGTTGTAACAGAGTTTTTTCATTACAAGCATTTCTCGATCACAGTGTGTCGCATGGTTTATCTTATGCATACGAACCAGTACACATCGACGATCCACAGGAAATCAATAAATTGATGACTTCCGTTACATGGCGGAAAATCGGCCATAGCACGGTAGACGTGTACCAGAAGCGGACGATCACTTCGCCGTGATTAGCTTGTTAGCTGGTAGCGCTTGTCTCAGTGATTTTGGAGAGTTTGTCTTGAGTCGCTTCTTGTAACACCGCTTCGCTCTGCTGATTAGATTCGAATTTCTTACACTTACAGAGCAGGTCTCAGCAGAATAGCCGACCACCTCTGGAGGTGTTTCTGGTCAGAATCACCGATGATAGTTGGGGGCCTTGGAGTGAACATGCCAGTGGTGTTAGGTCCAGGTTTGAGATCCACTGGATTGCAACATTGCAATACATGTGCAAACCAATTCTTTGCTAGGCGACTTCCTTAAAATTTGCCCTTGGATCAAGTAATGACGACGTTGCAACTATCGAATCAGCCGGGAGTGTTATGTACGGCCAACTATTGTTCAGCACACTTGAGACAGACTGTTACGGTGATTCCTATGAAAATCCTTTTGAGTTGACTGCTTGCAGTGCCTTCACTTGAGAACCCGAGAGTCCATGAGAACTCCTGTCATTCTGTATGATTGGAGTGTACATGCATCTAGTTTGGGGATTTTGAACTGAGAACTGTGTAGGAAGAGGTCGTCAAATAGGTGAAACAGCAGTTGGCGCAAGGCACTACACTCGGCAGGTGGCACATACTGCGGCCTCCGCACTCTCCTGGGAAGCGTTTGCGTGGTAGAGAGTCCGTGAAGCGATGCCAGCCTCTGGTGGAAATGATATCTTGTGATGTGAAGGGGGGTACAAGTTTTTTTCGGTCTGCAGTCTTTGTAGTAGCTCATGTTCGTCGCATTGCAATGCCATGCAGTCAGGTGCATGGCGTATTTCTGTTGCGATGCGAGAATCGTGGACCAATCTTTCGCAGGGTTGTGCTGACCGTATGTTTGTTGTCTCAGCTACATCAGGGTCTGTCGGTCAGATATCCGCAAGGAGATGCAGTGTCCAATTTGCTTGGGTACGCAAGTTTCTAACCTATCTCAGGAATAGCTCGTACTCTTGGTATGCGCTCTTGGTAGATGTTTGGTGTGTGTAAATGGAGGGCATGTAGGATGCCGTGTTTTTTTTGTTTCATTGAGACGTGGGTTGTCTTTGTTCGTAGGGATCATACGGAAAACACGTACGGTTATGGAATGTCTGCACCGGTTCTGTAGGGAGTGCATTGACAAATCCATGCGGCTTGGGTAATTTTGTGCTTCGCACGCCGTCAGTGTTTTTGAATCTCGCGACTTCTGCTTGACATGCCTTATTGGCTAAGGAATGTTGATAATCGAGTACATTTCAAGTTGTCGCTTTGTGTAGCGCAGACTTGAGCTTGAGGGACGATGGATTTAATGAAAGTTGTCTTGTGGGATGGACGAAGATTGACTTGATTTTTTTTTAATAGCACCCATTCACAAATTTTGTAAACTCTCTGATAACCAAGTTGTGGTAATTTCCAATACTTTTAGGAATAACGAATGTCCTGCCTGTCGCACGCATTGTGCAAGCCGCCGATCCTTGAGGGACGACCCCAATTTTGATGCACTGGTTGCTGCAATCTATCCTGATCTTGACGAGTACGAGGAGGAGGTGCGTCATCGTTTAAACGTTTGGTGAATGTGGTATTCACGTCGGCGGTGTTAGTGTAGTTTGTATACGACCAAATTATGGAATGCTACGGTATTACCGTATGATTTTGATTAGTCTCTTTGCACTGCACATGGCTGCGCTTTCTTTACAAGCTGCAGTGCGTGCTGTCTTGCGTTATGTGTGAGGAGTAGTTCGACCCTGCTTTGTGGTCGTCGGAACCTTTTTTTGTATTTCTCATACATCATGGGCTTCTTAACAGAAGGTGTTGGTTCGCTTGATGTAGCATGAAGTAAGCCTCTGAATATCTGTCATGCTTCTGCAACAGGAACTCGCCTTTTTTGAAGACGAGGCTCTTGTAAATAGACAGGTCAGTGTTTCCATTAAAACTGTCAAGAAACAAGGCAGTCATTGAGGTTGTGTTGTGCATTATCAAGTTAACATACAGGATTGCAGAACAGCTGAGCTCATTTTCTCGTGGTTTTTGATTTTACACCTGAGGCTTGTAATATCAGGGACGCAAAATCGTGGAATGCGCATTTTGAAGTACCTAGTAATTTAGGGTTGAACCTCAAATCTTTGCTTTGTTGCAACACGGCTGTTGCTTGTTTGAGGAGGTTGAGTTTTTCTTTTGCTATCAGTCTGTTGAGTGACGTAGGGTAGTAAGTGCTTTTTATCATGCTAAGACTCAACGGCATCACATATTGCACTTTAAGCGTTTGGGCCTCTGAGAATCCGGTTGCTTGAAACGCATAATCAAGTGTCCATCATCGACAAGCATTACCACCATCTAGTTTCTGAACACAGTGTCGCTTTTGGGTGCACACAGATTCAGGCGAATATTGCTGATACGTTCAAACGACAGTCCGAAGCCATCGCAAGGCGTCGTACCGCGTCCAAAGCTACAGCTGCAGCAATCGTCAGGAAGGCCCACGGCAATTTTCGTAGTGTGCAGAACAGGCAAAGAGGCCGAGGTCGTGGAAGCCGAGGAGGTCGCAGATCTAGGTCAGGAGTTCTTTGTGAACTGTGGCCACGACTTTGGAGGAATTGTAGGAAATTGCTAGTAGCTGAGTTAATGTGAGGGTATTTGCTGCACTCCCCTTTCCCGATACACCTTGACCTTTGGAATGCCGCGGTCTAATCATCATTTGGGGGAATGGTTTGGCAGGTTCAGTGAGGGCTCAGCACGTTACGAAGATGACGATGACTTTTATGACGACGACAAAGCTGATACTGCTACTTCTGGCGACGACACTCAGAGTGAACCAGAGCCAAACCCGAAGAGAAGGAGGGCCAAGGTGCAGACCTATTCTAGTGGTGAAGAGAATAGTGAGAACGAGTCACTTAGTGGTGAGTTGCATCTGCAACACTCTATCCCTGCGTTCATGAAACAATGTTTTTGGCTGCAAGCACGTTTTAGGTCGTTCTGAGCTCCTAGGTTTGTCGGGTCGGAGGAGTACACCTTTCCTGTTGCTTCGACATCCGAGCTTTATTGTTTTTATGGAAGTTTTTTTTGACGGTTTAGCAATCTCTTTATATATATTTCACTCCGTTGCCTGATCTTCAATTCACTTCTTGAAATAGCTCTTTAGCATGCTCGGAGTGCTAATGCCATGAGTTTTGATTTTCAGAGCTGAGTAGTAATAGGAACACTTATATCAAGCAAGGCCGAACAGTGTCTGTGTATATACAACCACAATTTAGAGTCTTTAGTGATCATGTCGGAGTGAAAGGCTCCTCAAATTTTCGGTGCTCTGTACAGCAGCTACCCGTGACCAACATGAGGCGCCTGCCTCTTTCTCTGGGGACGAATCACCAACCGACTCATTGGCAAGAGAGAGTGATGCGGATGCTTCTCCGACCAACGTTGAAGGGATGTTGAAGAGCTGGGCTAAAGGTACACGAAGTTCACGATATGGAAGTGTTAGTGGTGTTCCTGTGGCCAATGGTAATAGGAGCATGAAGTCATTACCGCGGACTAAGGAACTAGCAGACGCCTTGTTAGCTGATGCTCGCGCGGATAAAGAAGACGAGGTGAGACAAGGCTCTCCTTGAATGTTCGATTGCATTACATCGCCTGCATCTATAGGTGTGCGTGTGTTTAGCTCAATCCTCCCCTGCTTGGGAGACACGTTGCCAGATGATTGTGATATTCTTTGGTGTACTATAGGAAAGTGCGACAAGTTCTGGTTTGTGGTTTCGTGGAGAAAGAATGGGGGTTCCAATGTCTGTTGTGCCACCCTCTGGTGGCATTTCGTGTGGACTCTTCGTTGTGGCCTTGCTTCGTGGTCATCAAACCATCCAATGCAGAAATATTTGTAGTCATTCAGAATTTACAATGAAGCTGCTGCTTGAAATTCTGTTGCTTGCAATTCCACTGATGGACTAGTTGCCTTTGAGAGCAATGCAGTCTCTTTTGCGTTGCATCTCGGATCTATCTGACATCTTTATGAAACAACGTATTGCAGTTTGTCGTACACTTGAACTTGCAGCCTTTAATCGATGGATCGGATGACGAGGACACCCTGCCAAGTCTTAAACGACCACACCTTTGCTGTCCACCCAAAATGACCGTCCATCACCTCTGCAAGGTAATCACCATGCCCCACACTTGATTCAGGAGAAATCGTAGGTCATTAGTTTACTTGGATTTGCTTTTCTCGTAAGTTTCCCAAGTGCTGTAGAAAATTCAGTTGTCCGTTGAGGGAGATCAAGTCAAAAGAATTCAGCATGGTATTTTTAAGGTGTGGCACTAGGAGAGGTAAACTCACTCCAACCTGTTAGGGCACGTGTTGCACCTTTCTTGGTGCCATAATCCGGGCATGAAACTGTATTGCCTGACACGACGGAAATGCATCGGATCTAACGTGGGTCTCGAATATAAACTTAGAAGCGACTGGGCAAATTGAGAAGTCACCGTGCTCATGCATTTTGACATTTCTCAATCATGTTTTCGCTTCACGTGACAGCATCCTACGTCATCTCCAGGGGATTAGGTTGAATGTGAAAGACTGCAGAATGGTTTACTACCTATGCCATGAACTTATATACTTGCTATTTTCAAATCGTTAAAAAAGAAAAAAGAAAAAAAGGGTGAACGGGTGCTGATTCCCTTTTCTGATGTGCGAGCGACCCAGTTCCTTGCAACTCGGTTGTCTCCTCCGCCAGAAGCGGATCTGGAGATTCTGGTGGAGAGCAAGACTGAACAAGTTTCAATTCCAAAACCTCCTCTGCGGTTGAGCAAGCTCTCGAAAGGAAAGGCGTGGGCTTCGAGAGGAGATAGTGGCAAAGAAGTCATGCTTCTGTCTTCGGGGCATACACTTGAAAGCGTACTTTGCGATTTCTGGGATTACCATGGTAATTTGGTAAGTTGTTCGTTGCTTCCTTCCCCTATGAATTCTTTTTGAAGTCTTTGAACTCATGAAAACACAACGCACTGCCGCGTGCAAGCACCTGTTGGCGACACCGTAAAGCTCAACCTGCAGTAGAAGTAACTCATTTGAGAGGATCGTTTCGGTGAAAATTGGATATTTGGTAGCGACGATGCTGTGAGATCTATCTGCCCAATCAGCATATGAGATATATGCTGTGAGATGTATCTGCCCAATCAGCAGACCGTCACCGGTGCTTCCACTTTGTTTGTACCATTGGAGACCAAGAATTGATCTGGTTTAAAGATTAGATTAGTGAGCGAAACGTGCATGGCACTTGACTCGTACTTGGTGCATTTGCAGGAACTTCTCTATCGTCGAAAGGGTTGATGTGGCTTCAAATCGGATTCGCTTACACATGGATGTTTTGAATCAAGGATTGAGCAATACGAATGATGAAAAAGCCATAAACTAGGGATTTGGGGTCCCTCAAACTTCTGCAAACAACAAGCGCTGAAAAGAATAAGGCTTGCATGATTTATTTAGCTGATGATGAACTCACACAAGATACCATACGCGACAGAGATAGACTATCTTATTTGTGGGAGGCGAGTAGATGATCCCTAGGCTTTGAAAAAGTATTCTCTGTGAGGGATTTTAATCCAGCCTCGATGCGTGAGGTCTAAAATGCGAATTGTGGAACCTCATATTTTTAGGATTTCTGTTGAAAAGTTTTTGTCTGCAGTATTTACAACTCAGAGGGTGCCTTGTTTCAGTTAGGGTGGTGTACCAGGTAAGCAAATAGGTAAATAAGTCAATTGAAACTGCATTCATCTTAGAGAAGGACAGGATAGGTAGGAGGAGACTGGAATATGTCAAATATATATGCTTTAATCAGGGATGTATGGTCCTTTTGGACAAACTACTTAGGTTGTATGTAAGAGCACTTCTAAAATGGTCAATGAGATAAGAACGTTAAGAAAGTAAATGTCATGTGGTGGTGTTAGTTGAGATATTTGTTATTAGGATATTTGTTGTTTGATTAGTTTTATTATGTTTGTTATTTTATTTGAAGCATTGGGTTTGAAGAAACAAATAGTTGAAGAAGTATTTATTTTTCAGAATATCTTACTATAAAATATATGAATAAGATTAACATATTTGTATATACATATTAATGCATAACAAAAAGTAGATGTTAGGGATATACTTACTTCATTTAAGAAGGAATAGTTGCAAGCATTGAACATTAAGATGTGTATAAAAAAAAAAAGAATAGGTAAGAAGACAATAATTAATGGTTAATGTTAAGAACAAGAAGGCCTAAAGGCCACATGAAGAACTAAAGAGATGAGTTGACATGGCTAAAGAGGGTCTTAATCTTGTCTTTACTTATATTACTTGCAAGACAGGCTTAGAGTCCAAGCCTCTCATGTCTTGTCATGCAAGGTAGTAGATGACTTGTTAGCAAAGTCTTAAGAAGTTTGTCAAGAAGCTTCCTAAAAAGACTTGCAATCCATGTTAATCTACATGACTTGATTCTAAAACTATTCTAAAAGTTTCTTAGAGCATCACCTAACATAGTTTAGTTTCTAAACTACCTACAATATACTTCCATCAAGTTCTAAGAATGTTTTAGAAATACCTACTATAATGTGAAAGATTCTTTAAAGGTTCTAAAATCTTTTTTATATGTTTGTAACATCACCTCTTTTTTTAATGACAAGTTTTACAATGAGCATTGATGTTGGTTTTCTTTATATTTGCAAAAACTTCATTATTTCTTAAAGATCTTTTGTTATAAATACTACTCTTTGATCTTTATTCAATGGCTAAATAGGTCCTTCTAACCAATGTTCATAGCCAATACTTTTTAGAATCAAAGAATATAATCGGATGACTTTGGTCTATATTAAGACCTTCAAAAATTCCTTAAAAAATAACATCTTGACATCTTGATTCAATACTTCTAACTTGCAACACCACAACTAATTCTCAAGCATCTTCTTAAAGATTTTAATGCCAAACTTGATTATAGTAAGGATGTACTCAACATTCATATGGTTGAGCTTCATCTTAAGATATATATGGAATAATACTTGTTGTGACAATTGATATAGTTGATCCTTCAATGAAAGCTCAAGCTTAGGATCTTCAAGCTTTATAAAAATTCTCCAATTTGATATATTAAAATTAAAAAAAATAAAAATAAAAAAATAATCATAAAATATAATTTGAAAATTGAATAATAAAAAAAATAGACTATAGCATATTGATGATGTTCTTAATTGAGTCTTATCTCTTTATATGTTATTTATTGCTAGAGCTTCCTTTTGAAGTCATTTTTGATAGCCAACTTTGATAGCTTCTTTTGGATTTATAAAGATAAAGAGTATAAAAGTTTGATATCTTCATTAATACATTAATAATATTAGATGAAGGTTTCTATAATTATTTGTTGATGTTGTAACTCTTTTAAAGTATAAGTTATTCTAACCAGTCTTTTTTCATTTGTAAATCAAGAATTTTTCAATTTTATATTTATTTTTATGATAAATTTTAATTAGAGATAAAAATAAAAGTTTTTATTTTTGGAATTTTTGAATGATTATAGATTTTTAATAAAAAAAACATAAAAGATTGTTGAAAAAACCAATATGGATCAAACATATAATATTATTAAAAAATAAGAAATATTATATATATATCTTTGTGTGATCTTATCAATACAAGCAAGACATATCTATAAGTATTTGGTATCAATATTTTTTCCTATTTATTAGTAATATTAGTAGTAATGATAAGATTCAACAAATCTATTCAATGATTCTAGGCTCAGTTGAACTTGTTAATGTAAGCAAGATGATGGATACTTGAGATTGTTATTCCAACAACCTTCTTTAGTCTCTCATCAATTATTAAAGCATCTGTCTTTGTTTAAGATTGCTTAAATATGGACTTTTGAATAGAAATATCTTTTACTCAAAATATTATAATTGATTGCAATAGCTTTGATGTTGAGAAGTTATTTTTTGGCACCCTAGTGTTGAAACATTTTTTTCTTGTATACCTTGTAGGATGTGTCAATTTTCTTAAGCAATTTATTTGCTATTTGTTTTCTGTTTTTCAAAGAGTGGCTAAATGCTACTCGAGTGTCTTCTTTGTGTTTACTCAATGAAGAAGTTACAATAGACGTAGAAGGACTAATTGAGTTGCCAAATGCATATCCTTTCAATGAAGAAGTTGTGAATGAATCATTTGAGTCAGATGATTTTTTAGCAATGGAATTCAAATTGAGAAAGTTTTCTAAATCCTTTAGTTTAAAGTTAAAGCAAACAGACTCAGGTTCTTTAAATCAAACTGTATCAAATTTGGAGAAGTAACAATTGCCTTCACAAAAGATTGCAATTAATTTATGCAATGATACTCACTTGTTGAGTGCCAAGCTACTTTTAACAAATGCGGTTGGTTTTGTGACCTAGCAAGAGTTTAGACAAAAGGTCAAATTATCAAGAATTTTTCTTAGACTACCAAAAAATATAATAAAGAGAGAGATTATTATTTTCTTTTTCATAACTCCTATGCTTTAGAACATTTGTTAAGTTTATAAGTTATAAAAAAATCTAATTGAAGCTATTATAGCCTAATAGGCTTTATATATATTGCGTGTTGATACTCTTGGTTACAAGAAAGATCTTTGAAAGGATAGAATCAAATATTTGTTTCTACAAGAAAGATTGATTTTTGAATTGTTATTTCTATTGTTTTATCTAAAGTGGAGAGATTTTCCTAACATAAATAAAAATGAGCTTTATGAAGATGTAATTAGTATACTTTTGATAAAAAATATTTTGATTAAAGTATCAAAGAGAGTTGAATCATCCTTGGAGGAGTTTATTTTGTTTTTATTTTGTACTTGAGGAGAGATGTGATAAATCTTGGTCTTCTTCTTGAAGTTGTAAATAAGAAATGATTCCCATTTTGGGACAAAGTTGTTCAAATTCTTGTCTACCTAATACCTTGGTCATGATGTTTGCAAGGTTTAAATTAGTTTTGATATGGAAGAATTGTATTTTTCCAAGCTCTACCCGCTCTCTTACTAAATGATAGTGGACTTCTATATATTTAGTCCTAGCATGAAAAATAAGGTTACTAGCAATTTTGATGGAGCTGATATTATCACAATAGAGTGTCATTGAATTATTTTAATTTTTGATGCTAAGCTCACTTTTGAATTATTTTAATCAAATATCTTCATTTATCCTTTTAGTGAGTGCTTTGTACTCAATTTTAGAGGAATTCAAAGCAATTGTAGATTGATGTTTGCTCACCCATATAATGGAACTTCTTCTTAATTAAAAAAGATAATTTGTTATTGATATTTGACTTTACATATCCCTAGTCCAATCTAAGTATATAAAGCCTTGAATTTTACAATCTTAAGTATTTTTGAATGAAATTTTGTAATCAAGTATACATGCTAAGTATCTAAAAATCCTTTTGTTGCTTCTAAATGGATTTGTAAGGAGTTGGTCATGAATCTATTAAATACTCCAACTATATAACTAATATTTGGTCTAGAATTAATTAAGTAGAAAAGTTTGCTAATAATATGGTAGCAAGTTGTTATATTTGTAGGTTCACTCTCTATATTGCTTATAAGTTTGATGTTGATATCCATTGGTGTCTTGTAAGTGTTGCAACTTAACATGTCAAACTCCTATAGTAAGTCTTTGGTGTGGTTTTATTGAGTCATGAAGATTCTTTGATTCACTTAGTAGAATTTGATCTTTAGATAAGAAGTCATTTTTTTGAGATTAGTAATCTTGAATTTCTTTATAAATTTATTTTTAAGCCAAATGATTTTTTATAAGCTGTCCTTTATAATGAATAAGTCATCTATGTAAAGAACAAGTATACCTAGTTTTTCAGCTTCCTTCGAAAAATAAAGATTGTAATTGACATTTGACTTGAGTAGACCTTATTCTTAAAGATATGAATCAATTTTTGAATATTAGGCTTTAGAAGCATATTTAAGATTATAAAGTACTTTTTTTAGCTTGTAAACTTTTGTGTCTTGTCTTGTAATAATGTAGCCTTTTTGGTTAAACCATAAAGATTTTGTGAAGTAGATCATTATTCCAAAAATTTTGTCTTCATGTTGAGGTGATAGAGCTTCTATTCCAATTATTCAAAGAAAGCTAATAAGATCCATAAGGTACTCTATTTTACTATAGATGCAAATATATCTTCATAATCTATTCCTTATTTTTTTTTGAATCCTTTGGCTACTAGTCGAGCTTTATAGACATATTTGTTTGTGTTCTTATTCTTTTTGATCTTGTATACCTATTTGGCTAAGATGGAACTTTTATCAAGTGGTAGATTCATTAGGTCCTATATGCCATTTTTAAATATAGAATCTATCTCTTTGTTTGTAGCTCATTTCCATTTTGAATTCTTCACTACTTCTTGATAGTCTACTGGTTCTAAATTCATTTCTACAATATTATTTTCTTATATACCAATTTATTGATAATGCAAACAGAATAGGTAACCATCTAATTTTTTGATTTTAAAGATTTTAGTGGTCATGAAGTAAGAGCTATTTGTTTAGGTGAGGTTGGAAAATTATCTGTAGTTGGTTTTAAATGGGATGTATCTATTTATAATTTAAAATGATATTTATTAGATAGAATTATAATTTTTTGTCTTATTTCTAGATATAATATTGATAAGAATTAGAACATTAAAGGATGGTGTTTTTATGTCTTAAAAAACTACCGTGTTTAGTTAAGTGTATCTATTGGAGGACATGTTGAGATAAGAATTTTTATTGAATGTAACATCTCTAGTAATATGTATTTTTTTAGAAGCTAGATTGTAGCATCTATAGGCTTTGAATTGAGTGTCATATCCTAAGAAAATGCATTCGGTCACTCTAGGTGACATTTTTGTTTTTCTACATTTTTTTGCCTTGAAGAATAA